AGTCCCACCTTATAGATGGATTTCCACTAAGCTATTAACCAATACACTTAGTGCCCAGTTTACCCTTGATCAAAGGCGTAAACTGTCAGGTTTTCACAAGGAGTGACACCTACTCCAAGTTACTCTTGCTTATAGGTTTTTCACTAATGAATCAGTCTGATTCAAGAGCTACTCATGTCCTAATCTATCTACTCTTTGGATCACAATTTCTTCCAAAAGAGTTTACAACTTTCTCCCAACTATTCTAAACTCTAGTATGAATATTCATTGTGAACTAATCTAAGAGCTTAAAGAAATGTGAACGAGCTAATAAGAGTAAAGTGATAAATTAACACTTTATCTTTTGCAGGATATTATGATATGAATGTCTTGATTGTACTAAACTCGCCTGATCTTTCTTCGTCACATTCCTTAAATATTTATAGATTTTTTTGTAGTTGAATAACTCCCGTTGGCTGAGGAGATTCAATCTTGAACGTTGAAGCTTTCCACTCGATCTTCAGCATGCTCTCTTCTTATCTTCTTTCCCAGTAGCCCGAGTCTCTTTTTGTTCCTTTCTTTGAGCCCATGCGTACACTTGTAAATAAGAGAGTATGGGTTGGCTTACAAAAGTTCTTCCCAGGTCGTAGTCCACTTGCCAAAAATAGGTTCTCGTGACTTCCTTTTTGGCCAAGTTGTAAAAAGAAAAATGGATATATTTTTCTTTTAACTTTGAAAATAATGCTTTGAACTTTTAGGCGGAACGTGAAAATCAGGTGCCTTAGTTTCTCGGTAGGCTGCCGATTTTCACAAAAAGGGTCAACTCTTGTGTACCTTTATTTCATTTCTTTGTTTTTGGTACTTCTTCTTTTGTTTGTACTTTTCTCATGCATGCATACGTAAAACATAAAGTACAAGATCAAGTTTGAATCTACAATACATGCATCATCAAAATCAAGAGGGACCTAACACTAACTTCTAAAGTTTTTTTGCTGGAAAAACATGTACAACACAACCAACACAAAGTACAAGTCCAAAACATGGAAAATAAAAAACAAAGTGCAAGCAAAATAAAATTATCTTTCAGCCAACATGGCCACCACTAGTCTCAGTAGTTCTCGTGGGTCCGTGTCCCAGCTCCCGCCTCTATCCCGTTTTTTGGGGTATCAAGAGCCATAGTTTCCTCCATTTCATCACCATGTTCCTGGTCCTACCACGTACGTCTTCTCTTTGGCTCTCTTGGTCTCCTTCCGCCTGAGTCTCTCTTGGATTGATAGGAGCCACCACCCTACTCTGATTGATATCCCCTATATCATATCCATACAAGTCTTGTTGTTGCCACTAGCTGAGGAGCTTCCTTCCGAAACTAGCCACTTACTACCCATAGATGGTCTATTCTTCCTTCCACCCGCTCTTAGCCACGAGTCAAATGGCTTAGTCATTCCTTGACCTCCTTTTTTATACAATAGAGGACAAAATTTCTCTGCATGTCCAATGACTCCACATACAAAGCAGAAACTTGGGAGCTTCCCTTTACTCTTCCTATTGTAGTTCCAATTTTCAAGGGTTTGCCTACAGTTATACGAACTCTAATCCTCATGTATGCTTCCCATTTTTCATCAAACTCATTGTCATCCCACCTGACAAATTCTCCCGGATAATTCTCAATTCTCCTAGCAGTTCCAAGATTTGCATAGCTATATGGCACATAATGTACTTGTACCAGAGCTCAACCGAATCTAACGGGACTTTAAGCGGGATATCCCCCGACTTAATAGCCCTTAGAACTAGCAAATTCTGATCAAACAACCAAGGACCATTGTCCACAATACGATTCATGTCAACAGAGTAAAAGAATTTAAAGAGGTACCTCTTGTCTCCGATCTCCTTGATCGAAACGTCTTTGCCCGGGCGTCACAAAGCTGCCATGAGGTCTTTAAAGATATGAAAACGAACCACTTTGTCCGTAAGGATCGTCCCTACCACCGGAAACTCCGCCGGTCGCTCTTCCCCCACCGCCGTAACCCCTTCCTATTCACCATCAAGCAAAATTCATCCTAAGCTTCACCAATACCCAGGCCCACATACTTCTCAACCAGACTGTCCACCAGACCCTCCTCCTCGCTGACCTGCTCTCTTTCGTCCATCCGCGGTTCCTGCGAAAACTGTCCATGAGTCCTCACCATGCACACGACGATGCCAACCCGCCCTAGCATCCTTTTGGTTCGTTGCGCTTCAAGCCGCTGCACTGTAGGTCGGCAGAAAAAGCCGAACCCTAATCTAAGGGAGAAGACCGCCTCTCTCCATTAACCTGATTTCAAAATACCACCACACAATTCTAATGTTCTTAAAAACCACACCACTCCCTCTCGTCCCAATATTAGGGTGACAAAAGTAGTATAATTGTAGATAACTTGACCTGGTAGGAAAGGTTGCTCTTCGCAGACCACCACTATTGAGTCTTTCTTTATTCATCTTCCGAAATGCTCCGCTCTATTTAGTTGTAAGAAAATTTTGGCTGAATTTAGATACGTTAGTTTTCAAAGGCACAAATCCCAATTGATGTAGCTCACTCATATTTCTTCTCATGAACTTGAAGCCAAATATTTTGTTTAAAAATGGAAAGTGTAATTATCTGCGTTCCGACCGACATAGAGAGAAAATTCTCGAAGCTGAAAGGCCTACGGGTTGAGAAATAAGCAAACAACTAAGGCTACATATATACATGATGAATTTGAAGGTGAATGATTTTTGAAAAAAGAAAAGTAGTTCTCTGTAATACCGATCGAATTAGATAGAAATGCCTCAGTGGAAGATGGAACAAACAGTTTGGAACTGTGTAGAAACCTAAGGATAAAAATGAGTTCATAGAATTATAACAATGGGACAATTCATACACTTTATTGTATATTTGACCAAAGTAGTTTAAGATTCCATCGAATTCAACATTTTTGTGTGATTTGCCCAAGGTAGCTTATGAATGACTCAGTTGAGTGTTTAATGCAATACTAAATTCTAAAAATTATACACTAAACTTCTCTTGACAGGGTGGAAGCAGCGGGTTGGACAGATGAAAGGCTAGATTAGACGAGGTCAATTTGGGAAAACAAAACAAGGTTAGCAAGAGTGAACTCTCTTCACCTTATTGTTGATTGGGGAATTGGCGAGGCTATATTCATGCATGATCCAGTCGGTCCTGGAGCCACGGGGAGCTTTGCCTTGGTAAAAAACAAGGGTCTTCTTCATCCCAACAACATGGTGTCCTCCTCTACAACTCACTACCCGTGTCATTTATAACTTTGTCATCATTCATATTTTGTTTGTTTCAATTTTGATTTTTGTCAATTTTCATTTTTATGAGTTAATCCGTGATTCCAAATATTTATCTCTCATGTTGACAAATATCAAGTACAAAGTATTTTATTTTGTTATTTTCTGTATTGATTAAACTTGACAAAGTTTTGAAGTGCGGAAGGAGTATGAATCGGTTTGATTGATGAGTTTCACAAGACTACATTTCAATTTAATATCTCTAAGAAATTTGATGACAATTTTTTTTACCAAAGGTATTCTAAGCATTGAAGCTAGACTCCCTTTCAAGTTTCAAAGAAGACATTAAGACAATTCCCCGACGTGGCTGCATATGTTATGACAATAAATAAGAGTCCGTGACAATTCATTTTTCATGTTGGGTTATGTTTAAATAGGACAATCTTCAATCATGGACATTCAAAGTTACTAACACAATAGAATTGAAAGTCTAAAATGCTAACAAGGAAAGTAACACAAAAAAGAGCCAATAAATGTGGGAGATATTACCCAAAATAGGACTAAAAGAGTTAGAAAATTCCAAAATAGGAATACCATGTTTTTATTCCCAAAATAGGACTAATTACTGACATGTTTTGGCAGTACCAGACTTCAAACATGGCAGTATTTTCGAAACTTGACAGTAATTACTCCTATTTTGGGAATAAAAACATGTCAGTCCTATTTTGGAATTTTCAAACTCTTTTAGTCCTATTTCGGGAACTTTCCCTAAATGTGGTGTACAAAGAAGTGTTTCTAAAATTCTCCAATGTGTGTTAATTAGAGATTTTATTTTTCATATACTTACATTTACACATTACTCTTCGGTTTCTAATACTTTGAATAAATATCTCAGCCGTGCATAGCCAGAGGTTCAAATGATGGTTCTATTTCCATTCAAATATCGGAAGATTTTATTCTACACACTTCAGGTGATCTTATAGCCAAAATTGTTGAGAGCAATATATCCTAAATTTTTAAATTCATCTCAAGATTTAAGCTACTTCAAAGAGAGCTGTAAATTTTTGCATATTATTTTGCGTTAATTTTTTTAAATTTTCTTGGTGACCATCAACTACGCATTGTAATTTTTTGATATATTTCTTTTCGAAATAAACATTATTGTTTAGATTAATACCGACCATGCAACGAACAATACTAGTTAGTCTAAATATACATTGTTTGATGTCATATTCATTTTTCACCAATTTCAACCCTTGAAAATTCAAATTCTACCTTTTTGTTTTATTCATAACCTTTTTGCGTGACAACAAGATTTACATATTCTTTCTTTATTCATCCTATTCACTTTTTCTGTAAACCTATTAACTGTTGATAAAATTATGTAGAATCTCTCTTTTATCATATGATCTTTATATGTAAAAGTCATAAAATTGTCCGAAATAGTACAGTAAAATTTCTTCAGAATGCACTCGCTCTAAGGGAGTGTTTGCAACAGCTTCTGCTTAAAAAAAAGCACTTTTGGAGATGAAATGAAAAAGTGATTAGTTGTAAAAGTTGATAGTGTTTGAGAAAAAAGTGATTTTGAAAAGTAAAAGTTGGTTGTGTTTGGTAAAATAAGTGCTTTTGGTGTATAAAAAGGGGAAAAACACTTTTGACACGAAAGCCGAGAAAAGTAAAAAATTGGTAGTGTTTAGTAAATAAGTGCTTTTTTAAGCCAAAAGCTGAGAAGTGTTTTTTTTTTAAGTTGTTGCAAACCAACCTTGCGCGGACGTTGAGTTGACCATCATATGTCGAGCTGCTGATATATACTGATATGAAAAACAACAGTAATCAACAAATTGTTAAGTTTCGGAATTCTGGAATCTTTTCTCTCGATCAGTTCCTCCCTTACCTTCTGCCATATTCGCTTCGGAGTTCTCTGAGAAAATCTCTTATTTTCTCTCACCAAAGGCATGTACCCAGTTCATCTTATCAATAGGTCGTTATCCTTGTAATTAATTACGGAGTTGCAAGCTTTCGGTTGAACGATTTATTTGTGTTTAATTAATTTCAAAACTCAAAAAGTGATATGATTATAATTGTATACTGCTTTGGTTCATCATTTTCTTTGCTGGAATGAAATTCTAGGAAATAAATCTTTGATTGTGGTCCCGCTTGCGACTAACTGTGCAGTTAGCTATCGAATTAGGGATTTGCGCTTGTTTCAGTTGATGTTTTAATAACGTAATCTATTTATTCTTTTTTCTGTTTTTATAATAAATCCGCTTCTATTCGGTGTCTGTACTGATCTGCAATGGGATTGGGAACTTTTATTCAGTGTTCAACATTTATATTATAATTTTTTCCCTTAAAGAAAGCTTGAAGAGGACACGGTTCTGCTATGAACTCTGTTTCTCTCTGGTACTAATGTATGCTTAATTGTATCTTTCAATTAGTTGTGTAATTGAATACTTGGTGACATGCCATCATCTCCTGATGTTGTTTCTCACAGGAACCTTTACATCTTTTCCATTAAAGTCCGGTGAACCAATATCCATGAGTCCAGGTGGCTACACTGCTGAAGTTACAAGCCTGTCCCCAATTGCTACTGAGAAGGACATCAATGATTTCTTTGCTCTTTGTGGGAAGATTGATCATGTGGAGATTGTCAGGTAGTACATAAAAGGGTTGTTTGGTTTGGGTCTATTAATTTCTTTTTGATTTGACGTTGTTAATGTTGGTCATTCTACTAACTAATGCTCCATTTCTTCTCATGACTGAATATTGAACATACCTAATAGTTTTGTAAAAAATATGTTGGTGTTTTAAGCTTTGGCCCCACAATATAATATTTTAAAGCTTTGGCTCCCCTAACTCCACATTTCCGCCCCCGCCACAGATTGTTCTAATCTCCTGGAGTACTCATTTTATGATCACATGTTCAGTCCTTTTCTTCTCTGGTGATGCCTTTCCGTGTGATGAGAATGAAATGTTCCCATAACTGATGTTGTCTACCTAATTTATAGCTGATATCTTAATCAGCGCAGCGAAAAATACTTGGATGTTATTTCTTACATTTAGAAATAGCCGTAAATAAGAGTAAAAGCAATGTGGTATTCTAAAATAAGAGTACTATGTATCCTCCCTAAATAAGAGTAATTACTACCATGTTTGGAATATAGTGCCATTTATGACACTTGGTTTCAAAAAGCGCGTCTAAGGCGCGAAAAGGCACAAGGCGCCGCTAGGCGATGGGCATGCCGCATCCAAAAAACCCAGGCGCAACAGATTCTAACAGGCACGCCCCATACCTCGCCTTTTGTTGCTTTTTGCGAGTCTGAGAGGCGTCCGCCTTTGGCGCCTTTGAGAAGGTGTTTGCTCATCTTTTTTTTGGCGATTCACATACCCAGTTCGAACGCTTGGCGATTCACGTATCTAGTTCCAAAGTTCCGTAGGTATTATATATTGATGGGGTGAGGTTCCTTGACTCCATCAAACTCTAAGTTTTCTCTCTAATATTCCGCCTCTCCTATGCTTCCACAATCTCCTATCCTCTTTCTTCCGCTCCTGTCTAGTGTCACATGTAAGTTTTAATTTTTTGGATCCTTTTACTCTTTCTTCTCTTTTTGTCTTAATTTTTTATATTATCAAATAGTTTAAATTATTTATATTTAAACTTATGATCATATAACAATTTCCATCATTTGCAATGGAGCCAAAGACTCAATATTTTTTGTCTTGAGAATATGATGGAATAAAGCAAAATGGCTCACTAAACTGTCTGCGCTTCTTTTTTATGAAGCAGTCCATGCAATTTTTGACGCGTTGATTGTCACGGGTCATCCGGAAACAGTATCTCTGTGCTTTTTAGTACAGAGGTAAGGCTGTGTACATCCGACCCCTCCTTACCCCATTGTAAGTGGGAGCCTTTGCGGCACTAGGGTAATGATGATGATGATATGATCATATAACAATCTTCCCTAAACCCTAATCCTAATCACATAGTTTATAAATTTTAAAACAATACTACCTCCGTCCCGAATTGATTTGCAAATTTGACTTTTCTTGGTCCAACAGTTTCATTTTATTTGCTTAATTAGGATGCTAATTTTTTTTATTATATTCTAATTTGGAGTTTGCAACTTTAAAGTAAATTTAATGTAGTTTCTGAATATGTAAATTTTAATTATTCAAAATTGAGTTAATTATCGATAAGGAGGTTTGACTTTTATAATTGGTTTACCAAAAAATGTTGACTTTGCAAAACAATTTGGGACGGAGGGAGTAATAAAGATGGTTTGTACATCCAGATTGTTTAAATTTTTACTGTAGCAGTTTAAAATTACATCTTGGAGTTTTAAGATTCAATTTTATGATTGACTTTTGGCGTTCAATGTGTTTGTTGCTACTGTCTGAATCAATTTTTTTTGTTTTTCTTAAAGGTGTTTATTAAGATTGTTTAATGGTGTAACGTATTTTGGTGATGTTATCATTTTTTGAGAAGAGGGTTTCATGTAGAATAATTATAAATATATTTTATTAAAGTTATACGGTTAAGTTCCGTGAGGCGCGCGCCTTTGCCTTGCGCCTCAGGTAAATTGAAATAGTCTTTTTCCTGTGTATTGATAATGTTCTTGGTAATAAATGCAGAGCTGGTGAACATGGTAGTACAGCATATGTGACATTTAGATCTTCACATGCTCTCGAGACAGCTGTATTGCTTAGTGTAAGTGCTACAACTAATTTTTTTATCTATATTTCTCTTCATTAAGTCAGATGCGCCTCACAGATCACACGACACGACTGAGTATGTGGACTGTGGAGGATAGTTTGCCTCCCACCATGCCTCATCCATTTTCTCTATCTTCTACGGTAGACTTAGTTACTATTTTGGGTGGAAATGAGTTTTCCAAGATTTTTTTATACATAGGCTTTAGCTTGAGATGTTTAGACCTATCATTTTCATTTACCCCAGTGCCGCAAAGGCTCCCACCTACGGTGGGGAAGGGGGGTCGGATGTACGCAGTCTTGTACTAAAGCTTGAGATGTTTAGACCTATACAATATAGAATTTGGTTCAAGTGTAGTTTGAAAGATTGGAAAATGGGCGAGTATAGAATTTATGTCATGTCTAAATCATAAGCATAGATAATGGGGCCATCCCGGCCCGACCATGCCATGCTCTGTTCAATATTTCACGCGTAAATGATTATTATAAGAAGAAAATTGTAAACGTGTATTCTAGAAGATTAGTAATTAGTTAGAGATAATTATCTGTCATTACTTGTTAATTATTAGATAATTATTAGTGGTTAGTTAGATCCTGTTTTATAGGCTACAGTACTGATAGGTCGTTATTCTTACACACTATATATGTAGATGCCATATGGCTTATTGAATATATACAAAAGTATTTCTCCAAACTTACATGGTGTCAGAACATTAGATACATCATCAAGATGGTGCAAATCAATAGCCCTAAACCATCTTCCTAATCACAAACCATCTCTTCCCCGACCTCACAAATTAGCTCGATAGTAAATCACTAATCTCTTGTTCATTCATCTATGCTCATCACCAGTCATAGATTGAATGGAAAGAATTATCTAAAGTGGTCTCGATCTGTCAAGATAGCAATCGATGGAAGGGAAAGATTGGGATATCGAACCGAAGAAATCAAAGAAATGCTAAGCAACGGTGATGGCTACAGTACCCGGAGGTTAAAGAATTCTTTAGTGACAACAAAGGAGGACTGAGATTCCATCAAAGAAACATACTCAGGCCTCGAGAACTCTCATGATTTTTGAGTTAAAGACGATGCTTTGGCAATCCAAACAAGGAGATCAAGATGTCACAACTTATTACAATGATATGGTGTCTCTATGGCAAGAACTTGATGAGTGCCACGATGATGAGTGGGAAAATGCAAGGGATGTTGCCAGACACAAGAAGAGAAAGAAGAATGACAAAATCTACATGTTTCTCGTGGGAGTCAATCAAAGTCTAGATGATGTGAAGGGAAGAGTTCTAGGAAGGAAGCAGGAAGAATTGAGTCCTACATTCTCGAAGATGAGAAAGTGTATAACTATTTTCTTCTAATTCTTTAGGGTCCAATTTTTCGTAACTTCCTTTTCACTCTCCCTCTTGTTTCCTTTATGGTTCTCTTTGCTTTTCTTTTAGCTTTCTTGCATTCCTCTATGTGCTCATCACTCCAAACGCTTCTCCAATTTTTCTAGCATTTGTTTTGGTTCCTTATGGCCCGTTTAACCTCCTCATTTCACCAAAATGTGTTCCCTTTTAGCGAGTAGGCGAGTACTTCCTTTTTCACTTTGTTAATGGTCTGCTCTATTTGTAATCACTATCAATGCGTTCATTTGTTTCCTAATGCGCCTTCTACGCTCTTCTAGGCTCCTTACATGTAAAACCCAGCACCGGCATTCTATGTTGAGTGACTACACTCTCACTACGGATAACCGTACAATCGGTATAGCTAGTTTTCCATGTAAACCATACTAAGGTAGTCAATTTGGGTGTTATGGGCTCTACTTCTATAGGTTGCAAGGTGAGTGTCTCTTTCTTGAATCAGGCGTTCATTATAGCTAACTTATACCAATAATAATAACATCCAAGCCTTAGTCCCAAAAGAACACTTTTTTGCTTCATTATAATGTGAATATCTTGTTTTCCAGGAACACTTTCAAAGCTATCACAACTAGAGCCCACTTGCCCATTAAGGGCGCCACCTATCCTGAACTTCACCCTCCTTGGCACTCCTCACACCACTTCCTCTAAAGTTTTAGAATTCTTGAGTGCCAGATTCATCCAACCCCCCGCGGTGCATTAATGACACGATCTCATTTCCTATCATCAATTTAATGCTCATGATTTGGTCGTTTCTCCTCAACACTTCCACCGCATCCCAAGTACACTCACTGCAGCACAGTAATGCCTACCCCATTTCTAGTCCTCTCTTTTCTAGAATACCTTAAATTGTAACCTCCAATATTTATCTCTCGTTCCTTGTCTTCAACCCTCTTAGTTTATTGCACTCATATAATGCTAATTTTTCTCCACCTCATAATCTCAACTATCTCAAATGTTCTCCCCTCGTAAGAGACCCAACATTTCATGTCCCAAAGCGTAACTTAGAATTCCACCGTCTATTCTTATCATGACCTTGACCCCCACCCTAACCTTGCATATTTTACCTCATCCCCGAGCATTGGGATGACGCATCCCTTCCAAGTGATGAACTAGCAACCTTAGCATACTTATTATTACAATCAGGCTTTTGAAGTGTAGTGCGCCTTTCCATATTTGTCACCACCCCAGGCATAGGATGACACACTATTTATGGGCTACGACCCAAGTGTAGCGATATTCATAATTTGATTAATGTCATGAGATGTGAACAAGTTACATTGCTTTCATCACCCGCTTACCATAGCACCCCCCCTTTATCCTGGCTTGGGCAGACATGAAACCACAGAATGGCCTCGTGGCGGAATATAAATGGTGGAATTTGGACTTCTCCAAATTCACTTTTTGGGTCCTTATGCCACTGTTAGTTGTAACCTTTACCAAAACATGCGTTTAAACTAGTTCATTATCAGGTTTAACTATTGGATGTTTGCTATTTTCCCCCATAAGTTTCCACCCCCTATTTAGATAAATTTTGCTGTACTAAATGTTCATATGCTTTAATTCCATAACGTGGACATATATGTTCATCTTTTAAATAAATGTTCTCAAAATATTCTGCTTGAGTACCTGGTCCCCCCCCTGTCCCCTCCCTTTTACTTCATGGGTTTATTGGTCTCCCTTAAACTGAATGTTGTACAGGGTGCAACAATTTTGGATCAACGTGTATGCGTAACACGCTGGGGACACTATGAAGATGAATGTGATTATTGGAACCCGTCTGCATGGAAGCCACAAGAAGCAAGTGAATCAGCTGTAATTCTCTTTCCTCATAAACTACTACTCTCTATCAATTGGTTTTTGGTACTTCAGGTTTTATTCGTTTTTTCTCTTATGATAACCAACCCCAAAATCTTTTGGGATTAATGTTTGGATGTCATTGTTGTATATATTATTATGATGTTTTCTGATACAATCCGGCTAAGGAGAAAAGAGTCAAAAGAAAGATACCCTTAATATCCGATAAATATATGTTTCTACATTGTAATCAAGCAGAGATGATCAGTACCCTAAAGAACTATTCTGTCTTCCTAAATGGTTCACTCTTTAACTTGGAGTGGTTTTTAATGAATCAATATTATTCCTTCTGATATCCCAGCTTGCCACTGTGCTATGGTAAGGAATTTTAAATGAGGGTAGTAAATTATAGTAACAACTTTTTTTTACCAAACAAGGAAAGATATCTATTTAGGGAAGTAGGAAAAGAGAAAGTATGAAAAACACTGCGCTTTTCATATATATTTTGGCACGGTATTTTTCAATAATTTATTTAACAGACTTCTCATTTAAATTTTAAGCTGAAATTTGGTGGACATAATCTAAACTTTAGGAAGAATATGCTCACAAAATTTCATCAAAAAGTTCCACCAGGAAGCACCTCAAATGGAAGCATCTAGACGGCAGATCCTATCAAAACGGTCTGACATCATTCCTGTATATATATATTCACATCAAGTATTACTTTTAACCGTTAGATCATGTTAAAAAACGTTTTACCATAAAAATCTATTTTTAACAATGAATGAGTCATAACCTTTTTAAGGCAAATTCTGTGGTACCCTCAAGGTACCGTACCTTGCTTTTTATTGAAAATTTTAAATATTAGTAAATGATGAAATCATGACTTGGACCAATCAAATGTAGTGTAGGTACGGTATCCTTATTTATTTGTGAGATACCGTAGCGCTCACTTTTTTTAAACAAATATTAAATATCATGGTCAAAATCAATAGCTAATACTAATGAACACAAAAATTGTGCATCTTAGGCGGTTAGGCCCTTAGGGTCCTTTTGGACCCTGGAATTAATATATATATGTCTATCATATAAACATTAAGTAATCTACTTTTATATATATATATGTGTGTGTGTGTGTGTGTGTGTGTGTGTGTGTGTGTGTGTGTGTGTGTGTATATATGATCAAACAAAAGAAGTCTTAATGTGAGAAATGAGAAACATCTAATGCATTGGATGTGAGATTAACGGCTCTAAGGTACCAACTGTGCATCAAATCAGGTCAAAAAATGCGGCGACAATATCAAGAGTTGACCTAATTAGATGCACAGTTGACATCTTTAGAGCCATTAGATCTCACATCCAATGCACTACATCGATTCTCATTTCTCGCATTAATTCAGAGTTCTTTTTGTTTGATCTAATATACTATTGTATATGTATAATTAAATTTCATAATGTTTATATGATAGATATAAGTAAAATGAGTGTCAACAAGTAAAGTAATTCATCGAGTTTTAGCCAATGTTTATTATACATTTTCCCCTTCTTATTATCCTCCATGTCTTCTCACACCCTATTAATGGGCTTGGTATGGATGTTGATAAATATACTGTTTCTAAAAACAAAGAAAAGGTGATTAAAATTTTGTAAGATCATGTGATAAGTTAATAATTCATTTTTATAGTGAATAGCTTTTTATTAAGAAGTTCTCCAAACCTTCTCTTCCCTGCCAACAGCCCAAAAGATGTACTCCCTCCATCCCATAGAAAGGTTCCCACTTTCCTTTTTAGGAAACAATTAACAATCTAAAATGACAATTTAATCATTAAATGTTAAAAATAATACATGTATAAAATCGCAGTTATCAACACTAACCCCATTATATTATATACCTATCAAAATTATTTTTCAAATATACTCTAATTATCTTATTTAATTATTGTTGTCTTGTCTCACTTGCTGATTACCGTATCTATCCTTTTAGGGGCATGCACAAGGCCACCAATACATTCCTTCTGCGGGTGAAGCTGTGACCATTGCACAAGATGTGGTCAAATTAATGCTGTCTAAAGGGTATGTGCTAGGGAAAGATGCTCTGGGTAAGGCTAAAGCTTTTGACGAATCATATCAATTGTCAGCCACTGCAGCAGCCAAAGTGGCTGTTTTAAGCGAGAGGGCAGGCCTTACCAACAAGGTTTTTGCGGGGGTTGAAGCTGTTAGATCGGTGGATCAGAAGTTACACATTTTGGAAAGCACCAAGTTGGCTGTATCGGCTACTGGGAAAACCGCTTTCGCAGCTGCAAATGCAGTTGTTGGAAGCTCCTATTTCTCCAAAAGTGCTTTATGGGTCTCGGGGTTTTTGAGCAAAGCATCAAAAGCTGCATCTGATTTGGGCAGTCAAGGGATCAACAAATAATGAATATAGATAGTAGTTATGGCGAGTCTAGTTTAATGATGTTTGTTTCGAGTCACAGTTTCATATTTTAGTTGCAGCTTACTCGGTTAGAAATAATATGTTGAAATTGAAATGTGCAGTGTGCTAGGTTCATACATAGTTTTAGGTTGGAGCTTGCCTTGCAAGTTGCAAATGACAGGGCAATAATAGTGTGTACTTTACGTGAATTTGCCTTCCTATTTCTTCATTTGTACCGAATGTAATTTACTTCCGTGTTGAGATTATCTCCTATTGTATAGGAGAAATTCTACCTCTAGTCCATCCAGTGTAGTGCTTGACGAACGAGTCCGGGTTTTGATGTGTAAACCTGTTTGGTTTTTGAGTTAATAGATTGAAACCTACCCTATGAAATTATACAGTAGATATGTGGGTTTATTCTTTGGAATCCTACCCTATGAAATTGTAGGGTGGATGTACTAGTCTATTAGAACATCTTTAATGGGACATAAAATTGCATTGCCATGCCTGCAAACTAGTCAACTAGATAGTGGGGTTAAAATATACTACTCTCCGTCTCTTTTTAATCGCAACATGTTGACTTTTTGCACTGTTCACATGATCTACTTTGACTACATTTTACACTATTATTTTATGGAAATTATTTTTAAAAAAATATATTTTTCAATTCATCTCATTACAAATTTTCAAAATCTGATTTTTAATATTTTTTTTATTAATAGAGATTAAGATATACTTACGGTCAAATGTGTGTGTTGGCAAATGTGCAAAGGTTGGCTTCAATTCATGGACATAGCAAGTTGCAGGGATTCCAGTGGTGCAATTAATAGGTGATGTCACCTTCGCTATGGGCTTCTATCTCTCCTATGACTGCAATTCGACGAGTTACTAATCATACACGGCAACCATGGACTTCTCTCGATTGTTCTTCATTCCAACGATAAAAAAATGGAACGATTTGTTTGTTTGCGGACACCCCCCTAGAACTCTGGGATGGCCAGTGTCCCTCCATCGCCGGACATGGGATTCTAGCTAACTAGGCCTCAATCTAGTCGTCTTTTCTCTTCCACTCGTTTCTTCTTGCTCAGATTTGAAATCCGAGGGGCCTAGACAAGATTTTGGATGACTTGTATTGTGTGTATAATTCCACTCAAATCATTTAAAATCCATAAGAATTAAAATCCATTAAAATCCACGCAATGTTTGAGGATACTCATATTTTCGTAGACTCCACTGAAATCTAAATCGAGGATACCTAAATTTTGATGGAATTCTAAAATCCATTAAAATCCTCAAGAATCCAAGTTGAGGACACCCCTTTAGTACTTCCCAATGGAATTGTTTATATTTTTTTGTGCGGCTGAGTTGGATTAAAAAATTGTTTGCATTGTGCGCTCCACTTTTTTATTTTAGCAAGCTAAAATGTGGCTCAAAAAAATCCCATCATTTTTGGCCATAAAAACTACTGGTGAATCTCAATCTTTCGGCACTGTGATAAAGGCCCCAACAAATAAAAATATTTTTTTGCATCTTCTGAAGAGGCGAGAGGGTTTATGGGCATCTTCTTCAAAGTCGCAAGACCAATGCCAACAATCAAGACAATCTTTTAATCTCTTTGTTATTGATTTGATTATGAATTACAACAAATTACAATCTCTGTGGTGGAGAGATTATACGAAAGGAGCAACAAACAAAAAATCAAGTAATTTTAGTCACATGTATTTGAACCCTGATCGTAATCAAGTTTTTTTACCGGAATAATGTTAAATAAATAAATAATTCCCAAAATCACAAAATGCTGCCGGGTTAAAAATAATTCCCAAAATACTGTTGGATTAACCGTGGTTAAGGAGAGCCGCCACTTGAAATGACGACTTTTAACCTGTAGAACAAGAGCCGCCACTACTATCGCAAGCAACCAACATTGAATGCCAAAGACAAGAATGAAAGGTTATGGGTCCCACCCAAATTTAAAATATCATGTTTTCTTTGAAGTGCTATAACTTTTTTAATTGTAATCTGATTGTTACAAAAAATATACCAAAATTCATAACTTTTTATTATCTTTCATATGACACCAATATTAAATATATAAAATCAAAAAATAATTTAACACTTTAAAAATTAATGCATATCTGTTTTTAAAGTGCTATATATTTTTTATTTGTATTCCGATCGTTACAAAATTATATCAAAATTTTTAAAAAAATCATGTAATCATGTTTTGATATAATTTTTGTAACGATCGGAATACAAATAAAAAATATATAGCACTTTAAAAACATATACGCATTAATTTTTAAAGTGTTAAAAATTATTTTTTGATTTTATATATTTCATATTGGTGTCATATGAAAGATAATAAAAAGTTATGAATTTTGGTATGTTTTTTGTAAAAATCAGATTACAAATAAAAAGGTTATAGCACTTCAAAGAAAACATGATATTTTAAATTTGGGTGGGACCAATAACCTTTCATTCTTGTCTTTGGCATTCAATGTTCGTTGCTTGCGATAGTTTTGTGATGTTTAGGAAAGCCGCCACTTGTTCTACCATTTAAAAGTCACCACTTCAAGTGGCGGCTCTCCTTAACCACGGTTAATCAAGCAGTATTTTGAGAATTATTTTTAACCCGATGACATTTTGAGAAATTATTTATTTATTTAACATTATTCCGGGAAAAAACTC